TTCCAGAAAATTACCACTGTTTGCTCACGTCATATTTAAATCAGTATGTTCTCTGTGGCTACGTCTGATAAGATTTTACTTTGAACCAATCCGAATAACTCAATCCAATCAATCGGAACCAATCAAAGGTTTGGACAAAAAGTTTCATTCAATCGTAAATCAGTATTTTGGGAGTGGAAGTAGTATTTAACCTATTAGTCGCCCAGCCCATGGCGGGGAGGCGCCTGGAACCCTGGAACCTGGAAATTAATGAAATATCTTGGAATTATCTTAGAAGCTGCTTCTTAATTTGACAGTCTCTAACATAATTTTAATAGTCCACCTGATCAATGAAAAACTTCGCATTTGTTCACCTGGGTGAAATAATTCCTAGGTGAACAAAGGCAACCCTTAGTCGACTCAATTCACCCGGAAAATAATGTTGGGTGAAATGGTTCCGAGGTGAAAATGAGGACACTATTAACCCTTAACTGGTATCGTAAATTGGTCATACGTAACTGGTATCGTGGGGGCCGCGCGGCCCCCATGCTATGTTTGCTTCCAGCAAGCATGTTTTACCCATATACTTGAATAAATGCTCATAAATGGTTTATATCAGACAAGTTCTATGTAATCATTGAGTTTTTATTTTATATTAATCTTCTTACCTATGTACTATAGCCTGCCCAGAAACATAAAAACCCTGGCATAGAGGCGCGTCAATTGCATTTGATAGTGCAACACTGAGTACAGTCGTACCTGTGTTAAATTAATAGGCTAATTTTATGTATCAGCAATAGACTGACATGCAAGGTGACATGTCAATGAAGTTTTCAGTTATAGATGACCCACGCTGAACTGTCCCACCAAACTCAATGACAGGGGGGCGCTACCATCGTTCAACTATATGGTTTCCAACATAGCAAAAATCTGAACCAGCGATCCGGTATTGACGGTGGCGCCCCACTGTCAATGTCATCGACAGGACAGTCCAGTATTTTGGAACTATACTGTTGCCATTAAAAGAAATTAGTACCATTAGTTTTCCGCAACATGGCGAGGGTTTTTATGTTCCTGCCCCCCTAGACAAAACGCACTTTTTGATCGAATCGAAAATCGAATCCGTCAAAACTCCATACAAAAAAGGGGCTTTTCGACCACTTATCGACTGGTTTGCGATTATAATTTGCACTTTGTCTAGACCCACTGGTCAGGCTATACAAGAGATTACATAATTATAATAGTAAGAACTTTTTACGTAATATTTTTTTAACGTTACAAATATCCATGAAACACAATCATCTAGAAAGTTAAAACCAAGAATATTATTATTTTAATGAATCCTTGTTATGTGAACTTCATAATAAATAACTTTCTATAGTAATGTTCAATAAAAAATAATTAGCATTTCATAAAAATAAAAATGTAAATTATATTATGATGAATAATTATCAGACCAATTGTATTTATTTTATCATAGTAGCTGGATTAACAAGGTCCTACAACATCTTCATCTTCACTCTATGAAGAAATAACTTGAGAATCAGAATCAATTTCCTCATTATCGACCGAAAAATAGGTACTAGGTCTTCACAATGACCTATAATTTTATTTCACTATATCCTTCTTCTGGTACGCTAATTTGGAATCAAAAACTTTGTTTTAAGGTATCTTATATTGTTTTATCACTTAAAAGTCATGGCATCTTGAATCAATACCGAAAAACAAAAAACAAATATAAATTACCATGAAAAAAAACCAACGTAACTGGTATTGTGGGGGCCGCGCGGACCCCAACACGTGCATAACTTGGTCCTCGTGAATGATGCAGTGCTGAAACACCTGCACCAGACGCGAGTAGTGCCGTTATGAGAATACCAAAATTATTGGCTGCCCACGATGCGTAGCTTCTTAGAAATCAAAGAAAACGTCATGGGGCCGCGCGGCCCCCACGATACCAGTTAAGGGTTAAAAACCATGGGTTCACCTGGGTGAACAAAGTGGAATAAACCGTCCATAATATCTGTAAAACCCACAGATATGGATTAGAGGTATAGCCTGACCAGGAACATAAAAACCCTGGCATAGAGGCGCGTCAATTGCATTTGATAGTGCAACACTGAGTACAGTCGTACCTGTGTTAAATTAATAGGCTAACTTTATGTATCAGGATTCAGGATTACGGGCTAATTTGATATTTTCATAAATTAACGAAAAAATATTATTAAAGGTAACCTGGTTTAAATAAATTAAATGAAACCATCAATCGAGCTAGTAGGATTTATTTTATTATTCATCAATAATCAAATTCAGAACTTGAATATTCAACTGCAATATCTGCTCATGAACGCTTCAAACTCGGTACTTCTTTCCCAATCCCATAAAATTCAACACTTAGAAAGTGACAAAAAAATTTAAAATAGGTAGTTGAAACAAACCACAGCTAGTTTTCATAGTGGACTGTACTATACTCTGATTTTTAATTCGACGGAATTTTGACATTTCAGAAGTGTTGTCAACATTGAAACATTCCCACTAAGAATGGAGAGCATTTTCACAAATTAAAAAATAATCCTTTCTTGAATTTAAGGTTTCCCTTGAAAAACTAAGGCTTAAAAATGTACTGATCATTTCAAAATGGTTATTTGAATTTTTATTATCATATTTTTGAAGTTACAAAAAAAATTGGGAAATTATTTTTCTCTTACTGGACTCCCTGGCCAATAATCCATGGGTTACAAACCTTTTTTATGAAAATCTTTTTGTTAATAAAATCTTAGCTTCATAAAATAATCAATTTAACAAGATGCCAATTTTATAATCCAAGTTGATTATGATGACGATACTGATGATTGATGATCAATACATATTTTCGTTTATGATAAATGTTGTTTTATTGTGTTAAAAACACGTTTTTTTCTATTTAATCTCTAAAATGTACATAATAATTAGTGTACATTGAATTCACAAAACTAACAATAGTTCATGCTTGTAAGTTGTACTTGATGAAATTTCATTTCATAATATTTATTATTAATTTAAAGCAAAAAAGGCTTATTACATCTGAATTGTCAAAAAATGACAGCTGTCAGAATTCCGTCGAATTAAAAATCGGACTTTATACAGAGAGCAGAACTATACGATAAACATGTCAGTCAATTTGACAACCTTTGTCGGAAACATTATTCAATGAAAATATTGTCCGAACCCTTAGTATTTCTCTTCGACAAATACTTTAACACATTGTGAACCACTTTTCTTTCACGACTATACAAATATTTTAGCAATGTAATTCATAAAACCAATTGCGCACATTTAAAATAAAGTTTGTTTACACTTTGACAGCAATAGACTGACATGCAAGGTGACATGCCAATGAAGTTTTCAGTTATACTGTTGCCATCTATGTATTACTTTTCTCTATGGTTGCCATTAAAAGAAATTAGTACTATTAGTTTTCCGCAACATGGCGAGGGTTTTTATGTTCCTGGTCAGACTATAAAACCCTAAGTGAAACCGTCCCATTCCAACTATTATGACATTGTCAGGAGGGCGCTACTATTTATACTGGATTATTAGTTTCGATTTTTGCCACGTTGGACAACTAAAGAAATATGACATTTGCATGAGGGCGCTACTATAGTTCCAAAATACTGGACTGTCCTGTCGATGACATTGACAGTGGGGCGCCACCGTCAATACCGGATCGCTGGTTCAGATTTTTGCCATGTTGGAAACCATATAGTTGAACGATGGTAGCGCCCCCCTGTCATTGAGTTTGGTGGGACAGTTCAGCGTGGGTCATCTATATCATGAAGCTACAGATAAAAATGGAGGGCAAAGTTGGGAACAAAACTTGAGTCAAATACCTACTTATATCTATCTCGCTCTCTGTGGCCCTACCTCTCTTTTTAGTGTGAACTGTAGTATTGCTATCTTCTTATTTAAATCTCCTTGTAAATTCTTCGAAATAGCCAATTCACTAACCAAATAAGAAGTTAAATAAATAAATAATTAATATTTGAAACTTAGATTACCTAGTTAAATAAAAAATCACAAAATTGTCGGCCATTTAGGCTTAATGTGTTGGCGAATCAGGGAATTACAATCCCAATTTCTGAGGTATCGGTAATGTGGCAACATCGGCCGAATCCGGCCCATCATGGCGGTTGTTTACTATGCAGTTGATTTCGTTTGAGATTTTTCAAGGGACCTTATCATTGTTTTGTCTGAAGAAATGGTGCAAAATTGTATAGTGCGTGGTTGCGGTAGTTCGTGTTGTCCTGGAAGTGATATAAAATTCCACGCGTAAGTGTTTATTTCGTGATTTCTGACAGTGGATCATTGTTAACATATTTCTTTGTATTTTCACAGTAATTACTTCCTAAAACGTTTTACCAGTATTTAAACTTATTATTAAATGTTACATATGTCAAGAAAAAGAAGATTTTACATTGAGTTTCATTGACTTTGAGCAAATTTAAAATTTTTGTTTCTATAAGACATTTTGAAGTAGTATGACCATATTGAGGATATATCTGGGACTTTCTGTGGGACCTTACTTATCTAATTTTGCATAATGTTTTCTACGGCCGTTTACTGTAATCAATCCATATCCAAATCCGTCTGTCAACTGCCAAATTAAAATCTGTTTTCTATCAAATATCCACAGTTTTCGATGCCTTTACACTTTCTTAATGTTGTAATTCATCTTAAAACAAAAACATCGAAAACCTTTTTTCATAATCATATTAAGTGCACTTTATCAAGACACACTGTTTAAACGTAAATCAGTCTTTGTCGTCCTGAGAAAAATAAATAAAAGGTTACCCTACTTAGAAAGAGAGAGCCTGCCCACAGAGAGCGAGATAGTGATACATAGGTTGTGCTTCAAGTAGGTATTCTAAGTCTGGCCTCCATTTTTATCTTTAGCTTCATGATCTATATCAATACTGCTGGGATAATATAAAAAAAATATAGTTTGTTCTCTATTCTGAGAGATTTTTGACGTTTTTCTGAATCGTCGGACGTCAACCAAAATTCATTTAGAAGAAAAAATAAACTGAAGACTTGGCTGTATAGCGCAATTGCCTTGCCTTTTCCTGAAAAGGAAAGATTTACAAAAAAAAAGACAAGTGACAACTTTGACAAGCACGAAAAACGAAAACAACCATTCGTTCGCGTGATCGTGCTATTTATTTTTATCATATTTGCTTGCAAATACTACAAATATTTGTGTTTATTGTTTGTATCGAGGAGTGTAAGTACTTAAACAACAGTGCTGTTTTTGTAATCTTTATTTATCTGATAAGCCTTAAGAACAACGCGTGCCGGCAGCCCTTGTACTCGATGTCGAAGTACTTTTCGTAGAAGTCTTGAATTAGCTCCTCGACCTGCGAACATGTCGAACGATATATTACAAACGAAATGCGATGCTTGCTCGGAAGTGGCTCACGAACCCTTCATTGAGTGTTGCGAGTGCGAGAGTAACTTGTGTATGTCATGTTTTGCCTCTGGACGCGAAGTGAATTCCCACAAAAACGACCACAAGTACGCTGTCCGCCGCAACGACTTCCCTCTATTCGAAAACTGCAACTGGTCCGCCAAAGAAGAGTGCAAGTTACTCTCTGCACTGTCCTCTTATGGTTATGGTAATTGGGAAGAGATCTCTAAAAGTGTACACACTAGATCAAAGCTTGAATGTCAGGAACACTACAAGAAATATTACATCGAAAATGTGCAGTATAAAGGGCTGAAACTTTTGCCAGAAACACAACAGTCCCTGTTCCCTAGACCTGTGATACCTTATTTGTACAGCACAGAGGTGACAATAAATCCACCTCGCAACAACCAGGGTGATCAGCATTTGGCCGGTTATAACGCACACAGATCTGAATTTGAGTTAAGCTATGATCATAATGCAGAAAGCATTTTTAATATTGAAAACAATTACTCCGATGAAGAGGATGATGAAGATGACTGTATGGACTCTTTGAAAATAGCTTTAGTCAACTCACTGAACACCAGGCTGAGAGAGAGGCAGAGGCGGTATAAAATTATACAAAACCATGGGCTCATAATGCCCAGCAAGCTGGTCTCCTGGTTACAAAAGTTTGATAACACCCTGGGAAGGCAGAAATGTGAGAGGTTACTTGCGTACATGCAGTTTATGACTGGAATACAGTTTGATGCATTCATGGAGGGTCTGAGTTTGGAGTGCGAGATCATGCAGAGAATACTGCGGCTTTGCGAGTACAGGAAGTGTGGCATTCGGACACTGTACGCTGCAAAGTTGTACAAGCACTTGAAGAAGGACAATGACATGATGATAAAGGAACAGCAGCACTCCACATTTGTGATGATGAGGAAGTTTGAGGGCATATCACCTGTCAAGAGCAAAATCTTTGGGAGAGACGATGGAAAAGTAAAGAAAATCAAGAAGTGTATTATGCCTCTTGAAATTGTCGATTTACCAGGTTTTCATCTTTTGTCAGAGTCTGAGAAAGTTTTGTGCTCAAATCTGCGTTTGGTCCCGAAAAACTACTTGGAATTCAAGGAACAACTCGTTACAGAAAATAATAAGTTGGGTTTCCTCAGGCTTTTGGATGCTCGGAGGATAGTTAAGATAGATGTTAATAAAACTAGGAAAATCTATGATTACTTAGTAAGCGAAGGATTTCTTACTAAACCTTTATAAATAAACTCTTAATATTGTGATATTATGTTGTTTTCTTTTTGGATTACCTTGAAACCAAACTTTTGGTACAAAAATATGGCAGGGTTAGTTGGGGATACATGGAGTGTCACATCTTTTCCGGAACAAGTCTGTAATAAGAAAAAACATTTAGAATGCCTAAAATGCATTTCAAATAAATATAATAATGAAAAAAATCGCATTTCAGACATTTTTATTCTTGAATACATAATATCTAAACTTTTATTTCTTGTTCAATATTTAGAGCTGATTTGGAGCTTTGTTAACTCGCGATGATATTATGAAGCCGCGTTTTTGCCTCGGCCAGCAAGTTTTAGAGGCGAGAATAGACCCAATAACGACATCTTTTACCATTTTCTAAGACGATTATCACACTGCACCGCGCTCCGCGTGATTACATATAAAAAATCCCGCGCGCAGACGCGTTGTCAGTGTGTTGTGCCGCGCGTGTTTTCTATACAAACTGAGGTACTTGCATACAATGATTAAATCTATCGTCCCGCGTACCGCGGCGGAGCTCGATGCAGTGTGATAATCGCCTTAGTCCTCATTAGGGCATGGAATCTGCGCGTCATAGCAAGAACCGGTTCCAAAACCCGGTACTTGTTATGACCCAAGTTTTAGCGATGAGAATAGTTCCATTAATGACATCTTTTACTATTTCCTTAGTCCTCGGTAGGGCATGGAATCTGCGCGTCATAGCAAGAACAGGTTCCAAAACATCAAGAACCGGTTCTATGCTTAGTCCTTTTGTACCTGTAGCAGATGGTACAGCATGAAGGACGCGATGCCAGCGCCGCGCCACTCGGGCCGCGTGAGCACGAAGGAGATATAGGCCTCATTCGCACGCGCGTCCGGCACCAGGAACGCGCAGCCCACCACCAGCCGCCGATACGTCACCACGCAGCTGAATTCCGGGTACTGCAGCGCTTCAGTCACTGGGCAGTAATGAAAGTATGTTCATGGGTTCTTCATAGAGGGCCAAAGGGTATAGACAAGTACCTAGATACAGTCGGCAGCACTTTTTGCAACAAAAAGAATTTGATTAAGTACACATTTTGATTTCAAAGAACTCTAAGGCTGGTTTTAGAGTCACGCTGACCGTCAGCGCTGACAGCCGAAATGTATAAAGCGTCGGCGCCGAGCGATCAGCGTCACTCAAGAACGTTCCCTTCAATTACATACATAATAATATTGATCTGTCAGCGCCGAAGATCAGCGAGCGGTCAGCGCGATACTAAGGCTTGATTTCCTCCTACGCTGACGTCGGTCGCGTACATCGGTCGAGCGTACGAATAAACACAATGTTCTATGAAGCACCGCACTGCAACGCCGTCGTCAGCGGCAATCAAGCCTAAGGCTTGATTTCCTTTTAGGCTGACATCGGTGACCGACGTCAGCGGCGCGCACGATTAAGAACATTGTGTTTATTCGTATGTACGCTCGACCGATGTACGCGCCGACGTCAGCGTAGGAGGAAATCAAGCCTAAAACTAGCCTTACGCCCGTATTCACAAACATTACTATGAGGTCTCACAATGCTCGTGGACGCATAGGGTCACACACGAACCAATCGCAGCACAGTCTTTTATTTTNTGATAGGTAAATTTATTTACAAAATTCTGACTTAATGTAATTTTTTTAGAAAATATGCTTCTAAAACAGTTTTTTTTATAAAATCACAAAATCGAATATTTCTTCGAAACTAAACAAATACAACTACTAGTTCCTTCATCAATTGTATACATAATAGTAATATCTAACGATTGAATTAATAAAACAGGGATGTCCGCTTCTAAGCCAAAATAAAACACTGTGCGCAGAGCTCTATTCAACGCTATGCGTTCTATTTGCTGCTTCAATTAAGCAAGCATAGTTTGTGAATACGGGCGTTTAGTCTGAGGGCACGAAACTGGCGACGGCCGAGCGATGGCGGGTCGTGTGACGGCGGAGCGCTAGCGATGCATACAAGTAGAGTCCTCATTATGCGAAGTGCGTCAAATTCATCCGATAGTTGAGCAAAAACGGATTAATATCTCCAAGATTTTTTCTCCAAACTTCGTCATTTCAATAGTCCAATGTCAATCTTGAAAGGAGCTTGTGAACTTGCAAATCTTTTCTCAGCAGTGATTAAGTTGGAATTATGAAATTCATACTTGATTTAATTAGGAAGACTTACAATCGATCCCTGGCCAGAAGAACTGCGCGCAGAGGTTGTTGACCGCCGCGATGTGTTGCGGGCGCACGTATGAGAAGTCCAAAGTGCCGCGCGGTGGTGGTACGTAGCCTTTGATGTGCCTGCAAGAATACGTCTCTTAGCTTTCCAGATTTGGAAAAAAAAAATACTTTCATATATTATTATACCTACTAGTAAATCTAATTCTTACAAATAGCGCACAGCTGATGGTCGCTGGTACAGAAAAAATCTCGAGTTGGCGACTACGATACGGATGACTTAGTGTGGGCAGACCGTCAACTAGGTGGACCTACGAAGGTCAGGTGAAGGTCACGAGAAGCACTTAGATGCGGGGAGCGCAAGAAATCCTTGGGGGAGGCCTTAGTCCAGTAGTGGAACGTCATATTTATATAACGTCACATTAGTGTACTATGTATTTTATTGCAATAAATAAATAAATAAATATGGCTGAAACGAACAAACTTCAACTCTGTGGGAGAATGATGCAAGGACACTATGTATGTAGCAAGTCCTAAAACCCCTGTTAGCCTTGGCTTTAGTAGTAAATAGTATGTCTGTCTAGTGTCTACCAGTTCACCCAAGTATCCACCAAGTAACAGCGGATACTAGGCCGAAAAATTTTCAGATTAATCAGTATCCCTCACTTGTTGGTCTTCCTCAGCAGCTCATCGGTGAGCTTCAGCCACAGCGGCGTGGAGTCCGCGTCCCGTCGGATGTAGGGCTTCAGTAGCGCGCCCGAGTACGGCGAGCGGAACGGTGCCGGCTCCGTCTTGGCCACCACAGTTGTCCCGTAGTTCGTACTGGCTATGGTGCCGCACAGGTTGTCCATTAGGTACTGAAATAACGTTGAATTAGTTTAAATCAGACTATATTTTCATTTGCTTTAAAACTAGGGAATTTCATACAGAAAACTACTTTAGACTCAAGGCCGGACTGTGGGTTTAAGGGGCCCTTGGCTAACACTTCTTAGGGGCCCACTCTTTCGCATTATTGTCGACTTTGACTTGACTTAGCTGGGGGCCTCTTGAGTCCACGGGGCCCTTGGCTGAAGCCCAAAAAGCCATAATAATATGGTAGATCCAGCTCTGTTTAGACTGCTTTTATTAAAACTGCAGAGCGCAATCAAAGATTTCTGATGGATCACTAGTGAATGTGTTGTGTGGGATGGGATTGTAACTTACCGATCTTTGGAATCTATCCAACACTCTTTCAGTGTTCATGACGTCTCTGGGGTCTTCTGTCAAGTAGCCACCTAACAGCTTCACAGCTCTAAAACAATCAAGTAGGTACGTCAAGTTTACCGATCTAGTATTTTCTAAATTAAAATATATCAATAGAGTGCAGAATAAAATTGAAAACTCACTTGTCCAAATCAAATAAAGGCAAGTGTTTATGCCTCTTCAGTCTCCTCAAAGCCAGTTTTGCTTTCAACCTGCACAAATACGCCTTCTTATTTGGATCCTTCATTTTCGGTATCATTCCCTCGACCTGTTTCAACAGCTGCACCTCTTGATACTGCGTCATCGGCACCAAATTCTTATCTGGTTCTGGAAACTTTTCCATCCAAGGCAAATCGACAGAATTCAGTTCAGTGGAGAAAAGTGATTCTCTTTTTTCATAAGGATTTTCCTCTTGTTGCTTTTTGGGTTTCACGTCTGTGATCGATTTCTTGGTATCGTAATCATCGGATTGCGTTTCTTGGGGGTGACTGGAGCTGCTTAGACGAGAGTCGGAATCGTAATACAGGAGGGGTTGAGAGTGGATGCTTGATGAGTCACTCTGTAAAAAAGATAGAAGATGAATGCTAGGTGTTTCCATTGGAGACATCCAAAATTGGACTCATGTGAGCTGATGATTACACAGTTCCTACACAGAAAAGGGAAAGGAGTATACTTACGTGGAATAGCGTTTGCACAGTGGTGGGCGTGAACTCAAACTTGCACATCCAATTGCTCTCCACCTCCGAATAGCTCGGTTCGCGCGTCGACGACAGTAATTCTTTATATTCTTCGGCTTCATGTCTGGATACACAAGATTGATAATATAAAATTTGTGGATGTACAAAAAAAGTAAGAAATTTTCTGCGTTAAATAAAAAAATTGCACATTAATCTACATCCCCATTTTGTCCCTTTTACAAGAAGGATAATAAGGAACTACCTACTAGAAAACTTTTGGATAAATTCTTCACTATTCTAATATTACCTTCCATCTGAATCTGGTTCACCGAACAATAGGCTGCTTGAACTGTCAAAGTCGAACCGTTTCTTTTTGGCTGGCACAGGCTCAACACTCGGGGTGATCGGCGTAATTGGCTCTTCCTCCTCTTTGTTTATTAAATGCTGGTAACCTGTTGTTAATAAGGAATTACATTTTAAACTTAATCAAAACATTAAGTTAATAAATCAGTTTTCTGTAGTGGAGAAAACATTAGCTTACAGTTTTGATGTTTCTTATAAAGTTTATCAATATTTTGTGTTTGATATTTACCCAATTCTATTACTTTTGACATAAAGATAACTTTGGCCACAGAAAAATTATTCCGAGACCGGCCCTTCGGCTTCTCTTTGGCTATTTCTTGAACTGAAATGCAAATAAAAAACATTTTAATTAAATGTAATCATAACATATTATGTTAATTATTAGTTTCTACTGATTTAGGATACTACTTCTACATACTTATATCAGCAGCAACGGCTGGTGAGAATCCGTGCAGAAGCTTCCACCAGCCTGTTTCTCCGAGCACGTAAGATCCGGAGCGAAACATAAAGTTGTTGTACACCGACAGGACTCCAGCAATGGTGCCAACCCAGTTCTTCTTTTGTTTCCTGGAAATATAGTATTGAGTACATTAGAAGACATGTACACAAGACTATTTAGATATTAATTTTATGGATAAAAGCCTTTAGATTAGCTTTACAATACTAATACTACTTACGTATGCGCTCCAAACAACAGACTCCATGACCGATCAATGAAGGAGCAGATGTGTGTTTTGTAGTGGAAGAAACCATTGTTGCTGATACCATGCGCCTGGGTGTTCAGGTGATGAAGAGTTAGTAGAATAACATTTACCCTGGGCAAGAAAAATATATAAGTAGTTTTCTAGTATAATTGGGACTGAATTTTGAAAATGTAGACAAACGAGTACTAACCAGGGGAATTTATTACGTTTGAAAATTTCTTGATGTGTAGGCGAGCATTCGTAGCATGTAAAATCGAAAAACACGTCGCAGGCAAAATCACCAGGCGTACCGGGGCGGCGAAGACACGATAGGTGCACGAAGCAAGAGCAAACCTCGCATGTCAGCCCAGGGCTGTCTTGCTTGCACTCTGGCTGTTCGCAATACTTGCAATTAGCACACATTATTGATGAAAGACTCCGTTTGATGTTAATTATCTTCAAAAAATACACGATACAGTATTTTAGTTTTCCGAAAACAACAACAAAACAAACAACATAACCTCACTTTTTTACGTCAAATAATGTCAATGTCAAATAAATGTCAACATTGATAAATGGCAACGGAATACTATAATATAAAGCAAACGTTAAATTACCGTGCTCAAAGTAATTTTATTTCTCTAACAATGTTTCAACAGCATTGAATTGTACATATAGCCTGACCAGAGCCCCGATTACGGTAATTTTTAACGTCAACAATCCAGACACGCTTCTCGATTCTGCGATACGATTGGTCGTTCAACAGCGCACGTCAGCTGTTTTGACCAATCGTATTGCAGAATCAGAAACGCATCAGAAACGCGTCTGGATTGTAGACGTTAAAAGTTACCGTAATCGGGGCTCAGGAACATAAAAACCCTGGCATAGAGGCGCGTCAATTGCATTTGATAGTGCAACACTGAGTACAGTCGTACCTGTGTTAAATTAATAGGCTAACTTTATGTATCAGGATTCAGGATTACGGGCTAATTTGATACTTTCATAAATTAAAGAAAAATTATTATTATAGGTAACCTGATTTAAATAAATTAAATGAAACATCAATCGAGCTAGTAGATTTATTTTATTATTCATCAATAATCAAATTCAGAACTTGAATATTCAACTGCAATGTCTGCTCATGTACCTACGCTTCAAACTCGGTACTTCTTTCCAATCCCATAAAATTCAACACTTAGAAAGTGACAAAATTTTTAAAATAGGTAGTTGAAACAAACCACAGCTAATTTTCATAGTGGACTGTACTATACGATAAACATGTCAGTCAATTTGACAACCTTTGTCGGAAACATTATTCAATGAAAATATTGTCCGAACCCTTAGTATTTCTCTTCGACAAATACTTTAACACATTGTGAACCACTTTTCTTTCACGACTATAAAAATATTTTAGCAATTTAATTCATAAAACCAACTGCGCACATTTAAAATAAAGTTTGTTTACACTTTGACAGCAATAGACTGACATGCAAGGTGACATGTCAATGAAGTTTTCAGTTACTGTTGCCATTAAAAGAAATTAGTACCATTAGTTTTCCGCAACATGGCGAGGGTTTTTATGTTCCTGGTCAGGCTATACATGTGCAGGAAGATACAACTTGAACATAAGCCAATTCTACTACTAAAACATTTTTAAATAAGTTAACGTGGGTAGGTATTATTCAGTGAACAATAAATTAAACACACTAGCTATTATAGCTTGTTTGATCACGCTAGATAATAAATATTATTTCCCGAAAGTATTTGTTTGTATACCAGTTTGTATACCAGTGGGCAAAATAATAAAAAAGTGTGCTGTCGGCTAAAATAACTTTTATTCTAGTGCTTTATTCCTAAGCGCAATAAAAAAAAACATTATTTTGTAAAGAAAAAAAATACGCGGGGTACCAATGTTTTCTTGGGAAAGTGAAGCTGGTGATGAAGCGTTAATTTTTTATTTTTAGTTACAATGCATTTACAAACCGTCGATCGATTATTGTAAAATAGGGTTCATAAGTTTTCGTGAAAGTTCATGAGGTGCAAAATAAAACAACGATTTCAGCAGTATGAGGTAAGATAGCCAGTTCTTTATGTGCGTTCCCTTCGAGAGGCCACTGTGGAAAACGAAGGTTTCGTATACATAAATATTTAGCAGAACCTCTAAAACAAATGTAGCCAGAATGATAAATTTGTAGGTGTTGTAAGTTGGACGCTACAACCCGCCGAATGTGGTCCCTCAGATGAACTATGTCAAATACCAAATTACTGAATCTGACCAAATAAGATGATTTTCATAAATGGTAATATTTAGGAGGTAAATCGTAGGCATAGCTGGGCACCGTTAATCAAATAGTTAACTTCGTTAATCGTTAAACCGTTAATAAAAAAATTAACTTCGTTAAACGTTAAAACGTTACATTTCGCAAGAGTTAACGCAAGTTAACGTTAATCGTTAATCCGTTAACACATAATAATAAAACGAAAAAAATAATATGTTCAAATAATTTCGAAAGCTTGTATCGCGCATGGAATTTATTCCTCTTTTATGTTTGCGCTACAAGCTTTCGAAATTATTTGAACCTTGCATAAGTACAATTATTTTTTTCGTTTTAGTACAACTGCATTTCAGAATAAAAGCTTGTTAGGGTTCCGTAGCCAAATGGCAAAAAACGGAACCCTTATAGATTCGTCATGTCTGTCCGTCCGTATGTCACAGTCACGGTCATTTTTTTCCGAAACTATAAAAGTTATACTGTTGAAACTAGAGATGAAACGGATAGTTGTTTGGCCGGATAGCCGGATGCCGGATAGTTGGCCCATTGTCTCTTTGCATGTCGTGACGTGTTTAGCGCCGCACAGGTGCTTTGAACGCGATTAGTGGGTCTATTAGTAGACTAGACTAGTCACACTTTTCGAAAATCGAATCAGTCCGGATAGAATGTCAGACTTTGCCACTTGTCTAGGGGGCAGATCGATTCGGGCGATTTCGGTTGCCATCGTGAGTGTGTGATTGAATAGCGAAAATTAAATTAGTTTACTTGCTGTGTAATCTGACTGAACTGCATCATGACATCAGACCATCAGTGAAAAAAAGATCGCCTATTTTATTTGGCAATATTTCGACTTAACAGATATTTACTATTTATGTATTCGTTATTAGAGTGAATAGCTCAGAAAAAGAAATTAGTTTTTTTAAAGGCCTTAAAATGGCTTTTTGTAACTTTTTGGACTTTAAATAAAAGCCGTCATAATTATAAGCCATTTTATTGATGTTTACCTCAAAGATTAATGTATCTCATTTTATTAATAGGAAATCGTCGAAGTTTTTTAATATCCGGCTACTAAATTTCTTCTAAATCGGTTCAACGATTCTTGAAATAACACCATTTTATAAAATAATTGGTCACATCATCATAACGTGATCAATTTTACGATTTGGACACTATATAAATGCATATTAGTGTTAAATTTGACTTATTACTTATTAATCAATAAACTTAAATGAGAAAAATTCAATAAAAATAAAGAAAAGATACCAATTGAAATAATTATAAAATTATTTGTTTTCACCCGGGGTAAACACCCACGGGTGGAATGAAACGGGTTTTTATTGGGTTTTTACCCTCATGTGGGTTTTTACCCGGGGGGAAACCCATCTCTAGTTGCCACAGGAAAAAAAAAAAAAAAAAAAAAGGGCCCTGGAAAGGGCCTATGTACTGAATAAAATTCTTGCTCTGCATAAAAAATACCGTACCAGAAATCGCAGCGTGGGACGTCCACCCACAAGGTGGACCGACGATATCATAAAGGTAGCAGGAAAGCGCTGGACGCAGGCCGCTACCAACCGGGCAACATGGAAAGCATTGGGGGAGGCCTATGTTCAGCAGTGGACGTCCTATGGCTGAGATGATGATGATAAAAAATATCTGACTGTATTCTCTTCTCTCTTCCAGGTCCCATACTACGTGAAGGAAAACTTCCACACCGACTACCAAGGCTCGTTGCGGCGGCTCGAGATGTCTATAGAGGAAGAATACATAGGTACGATCAAGTTACGCGCGTATAGAAAGTGCCGTGATACCGGTCGCTGCGAACTATTGTCTGGTCTCTGAGCACGTAGAATTTTGTCCAATGACCCCAAGCTACCCATCCTTATCGCTCGCGCGTAACTATGTCGCTATCGCGCTCGCACACTCACTGCGGGCGCCTGTCGGCAATATAATTACGCGCGAGCGACAAGGATGGGTAGCTTGGGGTCATTGGACAAAATTCTACGTGCTCACGGACCAGGCTTTAGATGAAAGCGACTGGTTGATGGCATAAATCATTTGTAAGTATTGTAGCTAGTGTCACTTGCACTGCTCGTCTGTAACTGGTATGTTTTTTATTTGTTCTTTTTATTTTTGCTAGTATTAATGTGAGTATAGACTAGAGAAGTGTTTTTCAACCTTTTTCATGTATTTATTTATTTATTCTAGAAGGCGGCTTGAAGGCTTACATAATAACACGACCTCCTTTTTGAAAATGAAAATATTTATTGCCAGAATTAAACAAGACAATAACTTAAAGACAGACCTCCACACTGTGCATTTTTATCACACAGTGTTCCTGCTAGTGACATCGCTCGCTCAGCCCCCCTAGACAAAACGCACTTTTTGATCGAATCGAAAATCGAATCCGTCAAAACTCCATACAAAAAAGGGGCTTTGCGACCACTTTTCGACTGGTTTGCGATTATAATTTGCACTTTGTCTAGACCCACAGTTCTTTGTTGCTAGGTATATTAACTTTTTGATTATGGTATGGTATAAAATTTATACCGTCCTGTTCCAAACTGAATTTCACTTAGATGGCGCGGGCAAAAGCTAGGTCACTGTAAGCTTCTTCTTGTAGTTTCGGTGTATTGATTGATTTGTATAATATCTATTTAACCCGGCGAGGATGTGGAGGGGTCAATTTGACCCCGTGCTTCATATTTTTGTGCACAGTTATTTATCCCGTAGCCGTGTGCTGTTGAACGTCTCAGTAGCTGGAGTAATTGAACTCTGCTACACTTTGCACGCCACTAGTGAGTCAACCATCGCTGGTGAAAGAAAATAGACGTGCGAAAACGTAAAAATGACGAAATTTTGCCAAAATCACATTGCTCTATTTTGTTAAGAATGAGCTAATTTGTACCTTAGAAGACTAATAATGAATAACTAATGATATAAGATATTGATTACCAGAAAATACTAATTAATATTATGAAATATGATGAAATTGCTTTTTTGTTACAAGATAACGCAAATTTCACTATTTTTTAGACTTTTAGAATATCTCTATTATTGAAACATGTATATGGCTATTGGTGAATTTTTCAATTTAAATCCATTATTTACTAACTGTTACTTAACCTTTAACTACTGACGTGGGGGCCTCTCAGGCCTTGCAAAAGTCAAATTGTTGAATTTCTCTTCTCCCACGTGCACGACACCCCCGAATCTTTTAGTACCTTCGAGTTTCATTGCGCCGAGGCTATCAACAACG